TACTTAAGAGAGAGCAGCATAGAGAAAGAAAGTAATGAGACAGTTTCACAGAGAGGTTGAAGAGAGAATGAGCTAGACACAGGTGAAGCCAGAATTAGCTAGAGAATAAGAAGGAGCTAGAAAGTTACAACATATTGCCAAAGTTAGTATGAGGCTAAGTAGAGCAATTCAGGAGCGGTTGGGAGAGAAGCTAGATAGACTCTTAGAGACTGAAAACATTCCAGGCCTAGATTAGATTGTTTGGAGGGTAGAAGCTTTCAGGACTAGGCCTAGGTTAGCAGATGGAGGCAGTACGCCTCTGAGACGACAATTACTACGGGAAAATAGAAGTTACTTTTACAGGCAATCCTACCCTCTACCTGTGTCAGACAAGTTTAAATTCTTCCAGATGACTCTTACTATTAATCCCCATCTTTCTAGTATGTTTATACGACAGTGTGTGTGCGCGTGCGCGTGTACGTGTGCACGTGTGTGTGCCTGTGCGTATGCGTGTGTGTGTGTGTGCGCGCGCGCGCGCGCGCGCACGTGTCTTGTAGGTAAGCCTATGTATGCAGAGAGCTCACAGATTAGCATTGGATATCTTCCCCAGTTGTCTTCCAGTTTAGTTTTCAGGTTTCCTTAATGATTTGGTTAGGCTGCTTCACCAAAGAGCTCCAGGGAAGAAAGGAGAGAAGCGGCTTTCTCTGATGTTCCAGCCCTGGACCACAGACTACCATGTGTGCTACCATGCCTGCTTTTTGTCTGTCTGTCTGTCTGACTGTCTGCTTTTAATGTGGGTGCTAAGGATCCAAACTCAGGTCTTCATGCTTATGTGGCAAGCCCTTTACCAACCACGACATCTTCCCAGCCTTTCACATAAGAAAAAGGAAACCTCCAAACCAAACCAGACTTGCATATGAGTTTCCCACTGTGGAGTCATGGCCAATATGTAGAGTTCTTAGTTAGCCCTGACAGCTCTCTGTGTGCTTTACCTAGTTTGCTCATAAAACCTTCACAATCACCACGCTGAGTGACCTGGGAAGGCTTCTTAAGCACTTTCTGCAAATCTTTCTATTTGTACCATAGCTTTCATGATTTTACTCATACCAGAGATCCCTGGTCTCACCTACCCTAAGCCTCCTCACTGGGGTAAGGCCTGTTTCTTTTCTGTTTTCCTCTCTACCACCTAAGTCAATTACCAAGACTTGACTTTCTGTGCAGTTTTTGAACTGTCATAGCTAACATCTCTTTTATCAGCTTTGGTTTTTTTGTACATTTAAACTGCTATTTTCATAGAGATTTTTGAAATAGATCATAAATAAATTCATATGTTCAATTTGTGACTTTAAAAGTTATTTTGGGGTGTGTGTGAGAATGTGTGGTGTATGGGTACATGGATGTATGTGTGTTTGTGTTCATGTGGGTGCACAGAGTCAAGAGGAGGTCAGGTGAACTACTCCAGCACTCTCTGCCTTCTTCTCTTGAAAGAGTCTCTTACTGAATCTAGGAGCCCAGGAAACCCTGGATCCGATTACCTCTCCCCACAGTGTTGGGTTGCAGGGGCTACACACAGGATTTTTGCACAGATTTTGAGGATTTGAACTCAGTTCTTGCACAACATGGTCTCTTAGCCCCTATGCTATCCCTCTGGCATCCATTTGTAACCTTTCCCCCACATTTGTAACATCCTATATAGCTGTCCCTCTTCCATGTCTTGTTTTTATGAAGGCACATGTTTTGTATACTAAGTTGAATTTAGAGTAACATTTGATCTTCCTGCATGCACTTCCATACTTCCTGTTTGAATCAAGTCCTCGCTATGTACGTGGGCCAGGTTGGCCTGAAACCTTCCCACCTCGGTCTCCCCAGTGGTGAGATCATGGGAGCAGAGCACCGTGGTGGGCTCGCCTGCTTTACTGCAATGGCTTTTCCCTTGCTCGATTACCCTTGTGTGTTGGAAAGTCACACTTCCCATACTCTTCCCGTTTTTACTGTGGGTGTTTGGAAGACAAGGACTGTAAGTTTTAGACTTTCAGTGGCTATTCTTAGACATTCTTCATATCTCTGTGTGCTTGTGTTACTTGTCGGATTTGTCGGCCTCTCAAAGCACATAGGGAGGTGTGACTGTGGGGGACGATCTGTGTTTGTGTTAGCTGCTGTGAGGAGAGCCATCCTAATTGTGAGCAGCGATTCTGGACTGCACAAAATGGCGAGAGTGGACTTAGTGGGAACCTACGATTCACTGCTACGTTCTCACCATGATCAACTGTGACCTGGAGCTGTGGCCAAAATAAGCCCTTCTCCTTCTAGTTGTTTTTGTCAGAGGTTTTAAAAAGACATTTTATTATTTTAAAAAGTTTAAAGCATTTTTAAATTATGTGCTTTTGTGTGTGTGTGTGTGTGTGTGAGTGTGTGTGTTTGTGTGTGTACGTGTACACATGGGTGCAGGTGCCCATGGGGACCAGAAGAGGCCGTCATCCATCATCCTCTGGCACTGCACTTACAGGTGGTTGCGAGTGTTGGGACTGAACTTGAGTTCTCTGCAAAAGATGTATGCTCTCCTAATCTCTGAGCCTCTCTTCAGACACCTTGTTAAAGTACTTTGTATGTTTCCTTTTGCTCACAACAACAGGAAAGAAATGGAAACACTAACTACTTTTTAAATAGGACAAGGATAATAACAACTTCTGTCAGTGTTTCCTCCCTCTTTCTGTTTTCTGGAGGGGTACAGTCATATTTTTAAACATTAAAACATTTAATTTGGGTCTGGGAAAATAGCTCAGGGGTAGAGTGTTTGCTTAATATTCACATTAACCTACATTAATCCTCAGCAACACACACACACACACACACACACACACACACTACAATTTCAGTAGTTAGTAGGAGTCATGTGAGTTTTAGGCCAGCCTAAACTACATATTAATTTCTAGACCATCTTGGGTACCAGAGTGAGAACTTGCCTCAAATAGACAAAGAAAAAAAAAAGAGGAGAGGGGGAAGGAATGGAAGGAGGAGGGGGAGGGAGGGGGTAGGCAACAGCAAACAGTCAAAAACCTGTTCTTTTATTTTGCAGTTTTAAAAAACTTTTTATTGGTTCTTTGTGAATTTTACATCCTACATCCTAATCCCACTCCTCTCCCCCCCAGGCCTATGTACCTGATCTTGGAGAAACTGTAGAACCAGTGTAACCTGGTGTGTCCCATGGTATCCCTTTTGTCCACATTTCTGTACTTGCAAATGCTTATTGCCATGAGCATTGCAGTGGTTTCAGCTACTATATCGGTACTGGAACCTCAATAGGACCCTTCTTGAATATCCTGCTGTTGCTCTGTGTCATGGAGATCTTGGATCTGTAGTAACAACCCCTTCGTGTACCTCAGCAGTTTATAGATGGAATAGAGGTTGAGATGATCCAATTCAAAGTCTTGGACCTGGGCCTAAAAGGTATCTGCTGGTCAGCCTGCTGGCTCTCCTGCTCTCATGCCATTTGGGTTAGCTCACCTGCCACCCCCACATTCACTGCCAGTTCTACTATGCTGCCCAGGTGAGGTGCAGGGCCCGCTCTCCCTAGCGATGCAGCAGGTGAGGGGTAGAGGCAGCACTCCAGCTCTCATGAGTACAGGGCTAGCTCTCCTGCCTGTTGTGTGTGGAAAGGGGTGAGTGTGGGTGAGAGCATCTCTCCCTTACCCACACTGTTGCAGGGCAGTCAAGTGGGGCTATGTCTCTTACATTCACACCTTTGAGACCAGCTTATCCATGCCCTCTCCACCAGGCTCAGCTCTACTGTGCTGTCCAGGTGAGGGGCAGGGCCCGCTCTCCAGAGTGATACAGCAGGTGAGGGGCAGGGCCAGCTCCTGCTCTGATGACCTCAAAGGCAGCTCTTCTGCCTGCTCTAGGTGGCAAGGGGGTGCTGGGTGGGGGCATCTTCCCTTCCACCATGTTACCTCAGAGAAGACAAGTAGCTGAGCCAGCTTTTCTATACTCACATCCTCAGAGCCAGCTTTCCCGTGTCCCTGCTGTGCCACTAGGGTCAGCAGTTCTATTGTGCTGCTCGGGTGATGTGCAGGGACTGCTCTCTTGCTCTCATGTCCCCAGAGCCAGGTCTCATGCCTGCTGCAGGTGGTGAGGGCAACAGGGGAGGAGAGTATCTCTCTCTTGTACACACCACTACGTGAGAGATGAGTGATAGAGCCAGCTCTGCCATGCTCATATGCTTGGGGCTGGCTCAGTCACAACACCTGCAATGTGAAGGATCTGCTTTCCTGAGTACTGCAGCTAGAGAAAGCTGGGTTCAGCTCTCCTGTTCTCATGGCCCCAGGGACAGCTCCCCCAAGATGCCCAGGTGAGGGGTGGGGCCAGTTCTGTACGACCATCAGACATCAACGTGTCCCCAGTGTCAGGTTAGACCAGGGACATCCACCTGCCTAGCTAATAACAGAGCCCTGCTGCTTCAGGGCCATTGATATAGATATGACCCCTAGTGGCAGCATAGGCCAGGACCCCACCATGGTCCCAGGTGGCATCAACAGCTCCTCACATGAGGCTGTTCCTCACTACCCTCTAGTCTCCAGTTCTGCCTCTCTTTGTCGTGTCCACATCCTTCTGTGTCTCTTTCTCTTCCATTTCTCTACCACTTACTTGCTCCACTTAGTTGTGATCAGGGTCTCTGACTGTTTGTGTCATTTCAGGAGAGATCTCAGGAGTGCTATGCCCCACTTGTGCGATATGGCACTGGGCAGGGGTCATCTCGAGCATGGTCTGCTCTCCCAGGCCTGTGTGGCACTGGACTGGTGGTCATTTCAGGCTGGCTCCCTGTTCTGACTCCATGGAACTGATCTGGTGGTTGTCATGGGCTTACTTCTAGCTTGGCCAGCCCAAGTGGCCCCTTGCCAGGGTCATTTGTCTCCTGCTCAAGGCCACAGTCCCAGGTGGGATTCTTCTAGTCTTTAGTTTACTCCTCATGTTGGGAGCCCAACTGTGCTGGACTGATGGTCATCTCAGGCTGTCTTTTTTGAGGAAATGTCAGGTTACTAATCATTCAGATGTTCATAGATCAGAATACTGAGTGTAGACATAGCCTCTCTTTTCCCTGCCACCTACTGACACACGTGTGACACAGCAGCCACACGTGTAACAACTCCAGGAGCAGGTGTTTTACAGTTTTATGTTGAATCATTAGTCATGTTTGACAAAGTGCTTTATTAATTTCTGGATTGTGAGTCTTTTTCTCCTCTGTGAAGACTCTGTGGATTCACTCTTCCTCTAAAATGTCCTTTAAAGTTCCCATCACTGAGGGTTTGAGGGAAGCTGGTTCCTACAGCTGTCTATCTAGAAGTCTACTTCCTTTCATTTAGAATTTCATATTCTATACTATTTATATGTCTTTTAACAAATAGCTGTAGATGAATCTCAGTGGTTCAGGAAAGTCAGGCGCTTGGAAAAATCAGTTCCATGCTCAGACATGTGGGTGGAAAGTGCCCATGTTAAGAATGCACACATCATGGAAACTGGCAGTTGAAGAAAATTTGGCATTGTTTTGCTCTCGATTTGGGGAGCTGGTCCACAGACAGTGCCTAGCACCAAACACTGCCTCTGGGTCACCTGGAATCTGTTTTAGGTGTGGTAATATACCAGGGAAGAAGACAGAATCATTCATGTTTTGTGGAAAGACATCACTGGGAAGATGATGTTTGAGCAAAGATCGTGAGACAGCTCGCAGACTCTCCTCCACAGGCTTCTGCATAGAGGACACAATGCAGAGCCCACAGGTGGGAGGCCAGCATCTCTCTGGTATTTTCACAGAACACAAAGGTGGCTGTTGTGTCAATAGCGAAGTTATGTTTGAGCAGCAGGTTGAGAACAACTGAGATCAAGCCAGAGAAGAAAATAAGTTAGCTTGTAGAAGGTCAAGTTGTTCTACCAAGTGGCTTTGCCTTTTATTCTGAATGATACGGGCAGCCACTGAGGGTTGGAGCTCATCTGTCCAACTTATGTACAGATGGAGCAGCCATGGCTCTTTGGGATGTGCATGTTGGCAGCACATCAGGGGCTGCCCTAATGATTTTACATCTAGAGCCAAATGAGCTCACATGGGTGTGGTTCACTGAACCCTCAGGGGACCAGAGCTTGGCCACAGTAATTACCCTGATCCATCATGGAGCATCCTGTTCAGGGTCTTTACAGACCCCTGATAATTTGTGGCAGGCTTGTTCTGCTCTGTGAGGATACAGGCATGGGGGAGAACAAGTACTCTCTGTGCTTCGAATGCAGTAATTCTTTTCCCACAAATCTGCCGGAAGGCAGTAATTAGAGATGTGGTCAAGAACTCTGAATAAATGTGTTTCCCTTTTACCTGTATTAGTAAATAAACTGAGGGAAAAACTAATGTCCTCAAATAATAATGGAAACGATAGTGTAAAATGGGTTTTTAAAAGATTATTTATTTATTTATTTATTTACTTATTGTATATGAATACACCATTGTTCTCTTCAGACACATTCGAAAAGGGCATCAGACCCCATTGCAGATGTTTGTGAGCCACCATGTGGTTGCTGGGAATTGAACTCAGGGTCTCTGGAAGAGCAGTCAGTACTTTTAACCACTGAGCATCACTCCAGCCCCTAAAATATAGTTTTTTAGATGTAATATATAGTGTTTTAGATTTTAAAATTTACCAAATAGCAAATGACATGGAAAAAAAGGTTACAATACAACTGTAAATAAAAAAATAGGATTAACTATGAACGTATGTGCTATAATTTTAGTTTGTAAAAACTCAAGAAAAAGGAAAAGTTTCTCATGAAAGGAGAACTGGGCTTGAATACATCAACACATTGTTACTTGTGTAACAAAGATTCAAAGATTTCTAAAGAGCTATGTATTACTTTTCTAGTAAGAAAAATATGTTACAAAGTAACTGTCTCCTAATATATATGATAAACAAAATTTCTACACAAAATACCTTTATCTAAAACTGAATGCGTGCATAAAATATTTTTGGCAGTGAATGTGTAAAATCCAATATGAAGATCTACAGTTTCAGAGTAACTGTTCTAACTCTTTGGAAGGGCATTGATATGTATCGAATTTGAGCCCAATTAATTTCAGTGCATGATGGCTTTAATTTGCATGTTTTTATAATAAAGTTTAAAAAAATAAAATTGAAGAGCAAGCTGACATCCAAATACTTGCTGTTATGAAGAAGTTCTGTTGTGTTTAACTTTTGTTTCTAAACAGTGATTATAGAGATAAGGAAAAGAATAGGAACTGTCAGGTTAATTTTAAAACTTGGCTTGTCGGCTTATTAAAAAACATCTTTAAAAGAAAATAAGATCACACACAATCTTTTTATAGCAGGGTGACAAATGTGTCATTAGGTAAAGTGCATGTTGGCATAAAAATGAATGTAATTTATATTTGAATTTTTGGCTAATCAAATGACATATGTTTTATTGTCTTGCAGTTATATTAATGAGCAATATTTAATTAAAAGCTAATTGAATATTCCAGGAGGCAATTATCTTGCAATAGAGATGCCAAATCTGACAGGGGGAGGCAGGTGAGCAGAAAGCAGAAATCGGGTAATTATTCCCCTTGGAGGTGGAAAGGAGAGCCCACACCTTTCATAGAAAGACTTGTGAAGTTTCCATCCCAGACTGCACTGTATCCTTCCTTGAACTTAATTCAAACTTTCTCCATCACACAAGCCACGTGCAATGAGGGCAAAGGCAGGTGCTGTTCGTTAGTTCACAGATAAAGCTCTGAAGACATCCTCTGACCCTAACCCAGGAGAATTAACCTTCCCCTTCTCATTCACACTGACCCTGGTACCGGCTATGTGCTTTACACTTCCCAAGTGTAATTGTCCAAATGAAGACGTGGAGAGATTGAGAAACGAAGTCTCTGAAGATATAAGAATTTTGGATATACCTTACATTTCAGACAGCATCTACACAATTATTGTGACTCAAGAAATACTTTGCAGGCCTCTGGTTTTAGGAGGAGGGAAGTAGAAATATTGATTGACTTGAACATGGTGTCTTTGAGCTTTGAGCTATGGTTTTGCTGCCCTGAGCAGAGCCTTGATGGAGAAGCATAGAGTGAGAGGCCAGCAAGATAGAGAGCTAAGCATTCAGCTACTGACCAAGACCATCTATTGGTCAGCAGTCATGGAAGACAAATAGCCTGCAGAATGGCAAGCTGGCTTTGCTTTGGTTTTAATCTGCAGTGTAACCTGCTAGCTCCCTCCCGAAAGAAAGCTCAGTGGGGTGGGGAGAGAGATAAATTAGTAAAGTGATTGTCAGGCAAGCAAAAGGATCTAAGTTCAATTCCTCTTGCTGGGAGGGCAGAGACAGGAGGATCATAGGGGCTTGTTGGACAGCCAGCCCAGCTGAATCAGTAAGCTCTAGGTTCAGCAAGAAGGGCCTGTTTCAAACAGTAAGGTAGAGAGGGTTGGTGACATGGCTCAATGGGTAGTGTTTGTATCAAGTCTCAATCCCTAGGACCCACATGATAGAAGGAGAAAATGACTCCCACAAGACCACACATATGCTGTAGCAATTGTAAACACACACACACACACGCACACACACACGCACACGCAGGCATATATATACGTACATGCAAACACAGATATAACAATAATTAAAAACATGAGGTGGCGATGACATCACTGGTGTGGTTCCACCTCTTCCCAATCCAAGCACACACATGAATATGTACACAGAGACAGAGAATGACAATATGGTAGTTTGAATATGGATGGTCCTCATAGACTCATGTTTGAATGGTTGGTCCTCTGTTAGTGGAACAGTTTGGGAAGGATTAGGAAGTATGGCCTTGTTGGAGTAGATTTGGCCTTGTAGAAGGAAGTATGCCACTGGGTGTAGGCATTGAGGTTTCAAAACCATGTGCCATGCCAGATCTCACCCTTTCTCTGTCTGCCACGTTTGGATCAGATGTGAGCTCTCAACTCCTGCTCCAGTGCAATGCCTGCTTGCCTGCCACCATGCTCTCTACCGTGATGATAATGGACCAACTCTCTCTAAAGTCCCCAGTTAAATGCTTCTTCTATAAGTTGTCTTGATCACAGTGTTTTGTCATAGCAGTAGAATAGTAACTACAATAGAAAGCTTAGCTAGTGAGTACTGTTCACTTCTCAAAACCCCTTGGCAAGTTGTCAATCAAGTTGATTTGTTCCTGTGATTATGTAACAAGGGAGGGTGCTTCTAAGAATAGGACCTCAATAGTAGCCTGAAACTTCATTTTGTATTTTTTTTTTAAGCTTATGGGTAGGGTTAGGTTTGGAGCGCTGGTAGACAGTCACGGGACTGGATTTAGAATTAGAAGAAGCAGGAAATCGTACTTGCTTTTACGTAATGTGGGGACACCTACCAGGGTTTCAATTAGTAATTCACATATGTAGTTATTTTGAAGTAGATCCTTAATGTTTAGCCCAGGCTGGCCTTAAAGGCATGTTTCTCTTAAATCCTGAGGTTCTGAACTTATGAAACCCTGTTGCATGGTAGGGTCCCTCTTCCCCTTCTCTATGTGTTGCATGCACATGCGTGTATAGGTATGTGTACCCATGCCATGTGCATGTAGAGGCCAGAGAAGGGTGCTGGGTGTCTTGCTCAGTTTTGGAGACAGTGTGTTTCACTGAACTGGAAGCTAGCCATTAAAGGTAGACTGGCTGGCCAGTGAGCTGAAAGAGCCACACGCCACCCTGTCTCTCTGTCTCCCAATGCTGGACTTACAGGTACATGCAGTTGTGCCTAGTTTTTATATGGGGTGCTGGGGATTAGAACTTAGTTTATCCACGGAGATTTCTTCTCAGTCCCCAGGGTATAACTTTTAATCATCCTCTACATTATATTCTTAGGGTCTTTGTTCTTCCTTCTTCCAGAGCTATGTGAGTGATGTGTGGTAGTGGGGCCTGGATCTCATTTAGTTAAAGTCTTGGTGATTTTCCATTTTTAGTTTGCTAAATTCAGTTCTCATTTCTCAGTCTTTATTTCTCATAAGAAACCATAACAACAGACTATTTTAAACCTTGGCATTCGTTCCCATTTGCATATCATCTACAGATTGGGAAGTATATCCTAAGACTGGTTAGTCCTGTGGGGACACAGTATAATCTGGGTGGACAGT